TCCCAATTTCATGTCAATGCTCTATAATATCTTAGTCATGGGTCCGCTTTAGTACTTTCTTACTGTTGTTTGGTGTGAAGGTGTCAAAACAGAAGCGTGCAAACGATAATCCAAATCAAAACGAACGAACACAAATATAATGTGGTTCACTAACACAAGGTGTGCTAGCTAATCCATGGGCAGGGGAGAAAAAATTTCACTAATTTGAGGAGAGTACAGGTTACAAACCCAAATTCCGAAACAAACCAAATAAACTAACTTGACTGACCTTACTACTGACTAGACTGATGAAGAGTATTTGTAGAACTCTTCTCCTAATTCCAAACAGAAAACCAAACACCTTTTCCAAACCTACAAGGAAAAGGCCAAAACAAAGCCCAAACAAAATAGGCCCAAAACATAAAACAAACCCAAATCAAATTCAAGTCATATTCTAACAATCTCCACTTTGACTTGAATTCTCTGTCAAATACTAGATGTACCAAACGCAACCAAAGTTTCCAGATGTCCCAAACACCTCCAAATTAGTTGTACCAGAATCTCCCCTGTCACCAAATGCCCCTAAGGGCGGTCAACAAAGCGAACCATTCGGCAAGTCAACCCATGCTGAGACTTGCCATTTAGAACCAACTTGGTGCACTTATCGCCACCAGAACATGTCAAAACAGAACCTTGTAGACCATATAAGGCACCAATCTTGACACCTTTCAAAATCACCATAGAACCCTTGTAGACCTATATCACTCCACCTTGACCTTTGAAACCGAAACCCTTATATCTAGTAGACTCAAAGATATCATGTGTTGAAGGTGCGAACAGAACCATCATGTGTCCTCATCCAGACGGAGCCTCTTCCAACAATCTTACAGATAGCACCATTGGCCATAAAACATGTTCTCCATTTATCTGCTCTTAAGTTGAAAAACATTCCCTGCTTGGACACATAAGATAATCAGCTGCAGTATCTAAATACCACACATCTTGATTATGTACCTGCTCATTCACTACTAAGGCTAAACCATCTTCAAAATCAGAGTTAGTTTCTTCCACCATGGCAGCAGATGATTCCTTCTTCTTCTTATATTTCTTTAGTTTAGGACAATCAAATTTCCAATGCCCTTTCTCCTTACAGTAATGTCAGATATTATCCTTCAAACCAACCGAATTTGAATTTATATTCGCCTTCCTATTACCACATTGTTGTCTCCTACTACTCGTAGGAGCCAAACCAAATGCTTGATTTTCCGAACCAGAACCAGACGCCTTATGTCGAACTTCCCTAGTATGTAGAGCATATCTAACATCTTCTAAAGACAAACTATCTTTCCCAGCAATAAAACAATCTACAAAATTCTCATATGACTGTGGCAAAGATACTAACAGAATTAAGGCAACATCCTCATCATCTACTTTAACATCAATATTTCGCAGATCTAACAAGATAGTATTGAGTTGATCAAGATGATTCCTGAGAGATGTACCTTCCTCCATTCGCAAACTGAACAAACGTTGCTTCCTATGCAAATTGTTGGTTAAAGACTTTATCATGTATAGACTTTCAAGCTTCAACCACAAGCCCGCGTCTGTTTTCTCAGTAGCAACATAAATGATGATGTCATCAGCCAAACAAAGCAAGATTGTAGAGTGAGCTTTCTTCTCCAAAGTAATCCACTCTTCTTCATATATGCTTTTCTTCTTCGATTTTTCAGACAACGGAGCCCACAAACCCTATTGTTTCAATAGTGCTTGCATCTTAATGTGCCACAAACTGAAACTGTTTCTCCCAATGAACTTATCAATCTTCATACTGATAGCAGCCATCCTAAATTTTTATAGAAAAAAAATTAACGAGATAGCCGCAAACCCTAACGCACAAACACCTCACGACGGCTTGGTGGCAACCATTCACAAAGTAACCAAAAAACCAAACTTCAACTCCAATAGCTACTGTACGGTCCAAAAAAAATGTACAACCAAACTTACCAATAACTCCAATTAGCTGACATACAACTAATTCCCCAGCGTTTGACAAAGATTGAATTAATTCAATCACTTGATGACAAACAATAGTGAGAAGGGAATTGTTGACCGCGACTAAATTTCCTTCCTCTGCGCGCGGCAAACAATAATTACCAATTTTCCGAAAGCAATCCCATGGGCCACGGCTGTACTCAATAATTCCGCAGATTTAAATTGGGAGAAACCAAAACTCCAGTGCTAACCAAATTTGGAGACAACCCAAAGCGATTCCTCCACCGAACCAAGCGACGGAAGGCTATCTCCCCAACGCAAAACTTCAGTCCGACGCCATATTCCCAAAACAGTCTGACGCAAAATTCCACAAAACCGCAACCAAAGGCTCTGATACCACATGTCAAAACATAAGCATGCAAACGATAATCCAGATCAAAACAAACGAACACAAATTTAACATGGTTCACTAACACAATGTGTGATAGCTAATCCAAGGGTAGGGGAGAACAAATTTCACTAATTCGAGGAGAGTACAGGTTACAAACCCAAATTCCGAAGGAGAAGCTAGAAGAGAGGAAACATTTTCCTCAACATCAAGTCTTCCCTAAATTCTTCTATGTATCTTATCCACTCTTTTATGGAGTAGTCTCTCAAGGTACTAGGGATCCTACCCCCTGAACCTTTGTTTTAGGGCTATTAAGTGATGAATGAATATGTTAGGGTTTTGAATGAATGTGTTTGTCTAGTTGATTTTAATGATTCCTCTACTTTAATTGTGCTTTGGTAAGTCACCCTAATCTTCTCTACTAGCTACATAAGCTTCTACGTTGAGTATGGAGTTTTAGGTTAGATGGGTATGCACCATATGGCAAGTTACGGTTAGATGATTGAAATATGGTCTTCTGGTGGACGAGGCAATCATACCCCTACCACAAGAACGCTTCCTAGATGGAACCCGAGATGAAACCTCGGTGTGGACGGTGGGTAGTACCCATTAAAATGAGCTAAGTTCATAAAACCCCAGATACGTGAGCCTATACCGAGGTTCCAATGGGGTAGGTGGGGCGTACTTGGAGGCATGTGGATAATCAGGAACGCCCAGGGAAAAGAGCTCACTCACCACATTCTCTTAACCCAACATTTTTGGTCATTTGCATGATAGACCTAGGCTAGGGCGAGCATTAGTTCCTCAATGTACCTGCTTTTATCCTTGTTTATTCTTTTTACTAGTTATTTCAATTGAATCCTCCAACACAACCCCCTTAAACTGATTGGCTATATTACTAAAAGGTGGGAAGTAGGCTAGGGTACTAGGAACAAGGTGAATACGACATTGATTTCCACTATATGACAATACCTTTCAGGGTAAACTTGGCCTAGGATGGGGTAGTTATTTATACGTGCAAACTACTGACAATAACTTGCATGAAATGAATCGATCCATCTTTTTAGTGACATTACTGGAGACGCTTGGTAACTAGTAGAAACCCTCGAGTTGTTAGTTTAGCCTTTATTTTATTTTTTATTTTTTTGCTTTGTTTTTTTAGTTTTATCGTTTTGTGTTTTTTTATCTAACTTTGTACGTCACAGGTTGTTGAGTTTGTGTCTTGTAGCACTCTTGTATGCTAATAAGGGATTCTTTGGAGATATTAACTCTTGATATAGAAACCGAGAGAACCCTTCGGAATCGAAGATGAGTTGCAAGACCTCAACCTCCTCCAATGGCGGAGCAACAACATCACCCTCAAGTTCCACCAAGGCCTAGAACAATGGGATCTTATTCAAGGTCAAGTGTGGATAGTGTTCAATCGTCTATTCTTCACCCACCAATGCTGAACAACAACTATGAGATTAAGCCGGACACAATCTCGATGCTTCAAAGTGCAGTTCAATTCAATGTGATGCGAGTGAAGATGGCCACACACATATCTTGTTGTTCTACAAGTTGAAAGATGAGATTAAGATAACATAGTTCCTTAAGAGGAAATCCGTCTGAGATTATTCCCATTTATTTTAAATGGAGCGGCAAAGTAATGTTTGAATAACCATCCCCATCACTCCATCACCTCGTGGGCAGATCTATATGACAAGTTATTCGCAAGGTATATTCCACCTCTAAGACGATCTTTATGAGAAGCGAGACTAATATGTTCCCTCAAGAGGAAGATGAGCCATTTTTAAGAATGGGAAAGGTTTATATCACTTCTACTTAAATGTCGACACCGCAGTATTGCCAATTGGTTGCAAGTGGAAAGCTTTTATAACGGTTTGACAAGGGAGTCACAAAACCTCATTTATGTAGCTAGTGGAGGTGCCATAAGGAACAAAGAAGTTGGTGAACTTCAAAGACTAATCGAAGAGATGGCCCTAAATAGCTAAGAAGGGGTGACGGAATAAGAGTGTGAAGAAGGGAATTTTATTGAAGATCAAAGAACCATCTTTGTTAGCAGCACATAAACAAGAACTCTGTCTGATAATTGACCAAGTTACATCATGCATGAAAGGCAGTGGAAGAAACTCATGAAATGTGTTGGTGTGGTGATTGGGATCACACTATGGAGGAGTGTAAGTCTATGATTGAGGTCTCACTTTGGTTTGAGCAAGCTAACTTTGTTGGAGGGAAATCACGAGTGAATAACCCAAATAGCTCTACGTATAATCCGAGTTGGAGGAACCATCCCAACTTTCTTTGGTCTTTTCTGACGGATAGAAAGCCTCTGGGTTTCAATCTCAAGCTTCGATGAAAAATGATTATCCAAGATCAAGGTTGACCCTTCTATGGTCGAGTCTCTAAACTTGAGAACTAGGTAGGTCAATTCGTTACAAACACCCACAAGAAGTTTGACGCTATTGACAAATTCATAGGGAGCATTACAACCAATTTCTCAAGTTTGGAAGCAGGTCAAATGTAACATCCCGACGTTTCGGTTTAGGTTCGACCATAATAAGTGAATGGTTGGATCGTCTGTTACGTACAAAAAACAAAATCAAATCAAACCGAACCGGGTTACGGACCAAGGCCGAAATTACACATGTATAGCTTGATGGATTTCAATTGTGGGCCACGTTTGGGATAAAGAAAAGGAGAGGGCTTAGCCCATGGAAATTCCGCCAAGGAACTGGATTCAGTGCCAAACCCTAGTTCTCCCCTCTGCCGGGGCTGTCTCACTACTGCCCTTGCTCCGCTCCAATTGGATTCTCCTTCCTCTCCAACGGCTTTGGCCTGTAGCTAGTGCGTCCTTCCTTCTATTGGAAGCATGCAGCCGCACCGCAAATCCTAATCCCTTCTTTGGTATCGGCGAATGGAAGCCTGGGGCATGGACACAATTTCTAATTGATGGTTGGACTAGGGCGAGGCGAGGGATTGGTTGAGAATTAAGCAAGCGGTACGGTACGGAGAGGAAGAAAGGAGACAAGGACGCCGCAAGCATCTCCCGATTGAGGTAATGGGGGGATCGTGAGGTTAATATATAATGAGTCCACATGTCAATGATTGAAGCCCGGATCCATTAGTAAACAATGCTTTGTTGGTGGTTGGTTGTTCCATGCATGATGAACGAACTAGAGGGTTATTCATGCCCTCGTGAATTACAGGTGGACCAAAGGAGGTACGTACAGCCTCTTTCTATTGAATTGATGATAATTGTTGCTTCCTTCATTGGAGAAAGGGTTTTTGTTCCAATAGTTTTGGAGTTGAGGTGCTACGTGGTGAATGGAGAATTCCAAGTGAACAAATGGTAGGTAATGGTGGGTGGATTACCCATTGATGGAAACGTGTGATTGGGTTTTGGTTGGTGGGGAAATATTTAGTGTTTATGGATGAATTTGGAAGAGGAAAGTAGAGGCTTGACTTAATTTGGTTATGGACAGGGTGTAGAGGTTATATTTTACGAGATGGATGAGAGCAAGAGAATTCTGATGGATGGATTGAAATATCAGACCACTAATGGTAGGAAGCATGGTTTCTTGTCGGACCAATCTAAGTCGTTTCATCAACGAGGTGAGTGTAAAGGGGGTAAATTCTACGTCTTACGTATTCTTTTAAGTATTATGATTTTACGTATTTTAGCGAGTTGGTTACCGTTGCTTGATTATGTTTATGATTGATTATTTGTGCTTTGCTTGAGCTATGATTTGAGGTGATTTTGTTTGAGCTATGTTTGATGTGAATGTGCATGAGTTCTTAGTTAATTTGCAGCTTTCCGTTTATAAGTTATTGTTAAAGTTAGAAACAAGTTCTTTTTAAAGAAGTAACTCACCTTAAATAGGGTGAAGTCGTTTTAAGTGTTTTTAGTCACTAGCGTCAGTCCGTTGCCATTTGAGATTTTTCAGATAGAGCAGAAGTTATGCTCTTGAGATCTTTGAGACAGAGCAGCAGTTATGCTCTTGAGACTTTTAAGATGAGCAGCAGTTATGCTCTTGAGAATCGTGGTGAAGAGCCACCACGATAAGTTTAAGATGTTAGGGGGATGAATCGTTACGACTTCCCTAACTAAGTTTAAGTTTAAGGAAAGCCTTGATGGCTTCTCATACGTATGAGTTGGCAACTGGACTAGCTAGTGAGGGATCCCCGTGTCGGTCAAGTATTTAAGTCAAGCTTTGAGATTTAAGAGTAGAGTAACAGTAACTCCCATACAGTTTTAAGAGTTAAGCTTTTTAATAGTGGAAGTACAAAACAACTTCCACTCGGTTAAGTAAAGTGATCAAGTATTAATAAGAGGTTTAAACGTAAGGGCGTAGACTGACCCCATCTCACTCACCAGTTTGAAGAGCTAGAAGAGCATTTAGTGAGCAGCGAATTCGAGGGCAGGCAGCTAGAGAAGGGCAGTACCAGCGTCACAGAGGATGTCTAGTCAGAGTTTCACCCAAGCAGCAGCACTTGAGACTAATTAGTTATTATGTTTTATGATTATGAGTATAGACTGGAGATCAAGTTGAGTTTTTTTTTTAAAAGTTTGAGTTAAGTTGCCCACGTGTTAGGGCATTTCTATGAACTACAAGAGTGTGTTTTCAGTATTTTATTTATGAAAATTTTTCTCGCTGCAATTTAAGATTTGAGTACTTTATTTGTCAATGGCATTTTAGTAAAAGTAGTACCCGGCCGGGTTAGGGTGTTACATCAAACAAATCAACAAGATTTGCTTTGAAATCTTTAAACCCAACTAAACTCGTTGGCACAAACTCTATCGTTAAGACTACAAGGAACCTACCGGGAAATAGAAAACTTAATCTTAATGAGGGGTGTAACGCGGTAACTCTAAGGAGTGGCCGACCTGTAAAGGAAGTTCATATTCCAACCTCGAGGATACCGGGAAGGGAGGCTAAAAAAAGTTGTGCAACAAGCAGAGATAGTTCAGGAGGAAGTGCAACCTCCTATTGACATCAAGATTGAAGAAGAAGAGAAGTTTTAGAAGACTCAAGTACCTAACACCAAAGGCTACTTATCCTAGTCGCTTATTCGAAAATGATTTACATCATGAATTGGCTGCATGGATGGATACCTTGAAGAAATTGAAGGTAGCCGTCCCTTTTCTAGACATGGTTATGAAAATTCCCAAATATACTTAGTTTTTGAGAGAGATATTGTTGTGGAAGAGGAAGATGGAAGAAGTCTCTATGGTCTCCGTTAGTGAAGTTGCTTCGGCATCCACTGGGTGTGAAAGATTCCCTCCAAAGCTAAGAGATCTGGGAATCTTCACTATTCAATGCACCTTTGGAGTCCACACTTTTTGGAATCCGCTAGCAGATTTGGGGTCTAGTATCAATATTATGCCTACAAGAATATATAATAAGTTAGACTTAGGACCACTCATGCCTACTAAAATGTGGATTGAGTTGGCCAATAGGTCCGTTGTCAAGCCAAGGGGAATCATAAAAAATATCTTACTGAAATGTGGTCATTTTATTTATCCTATGGACTTCGTGGTTCTTGACACGGAAGGATGTGATGCATCGATATTACTAGGCCGACCATTCTTAGCTAAGTACGACTAGGACCATTGTCGATGTGACTGGGAGTAAGATTACCTTAATGTTTGGAGAGTAGGGGATAAGCTACAAGATGACTCTTGTCCCCAAATTTCACAAGTACTACAAATGGGAAGATGTAAATATGGAACTGTGAGCCGATCACACCTCCTTCCACACCACCTTCAAGCTCCGAGATGGAACGGTTCAATATGGTCTCTCGTGTTAATTGTCTAGATAGAAGAGTTGAAGGTATGGATGATTCTTGCAATCCTAAGAAGAGACTGGAGAAAGAAAACTTTCCTTTTAAAAGGACTTTTCAAGAGTCGTTCACAGTCTCTCAACAAGCCAAGGAAAATAGAAGGGAACTTGGAAGGTTCATCGTTCACAAGAGATATCCCATGGGAAGAATTAAAGGCAAGAAGAAGAAACACTATATGAGCTAGATAGCTCCTATTCTCGAATACGAAGAATCTGGGGAATGCTATAAGCCATTCACGAACGAGGACACTTGTGCAAGGGAGTTTAATTTCTTTGACCATGAACGTCATTCTTCGGATATGACTTTTGAATCTTAAAAAGCAGATGAAGCATTAGATACTCCATGGTCTTTATTTGGGACTTCACCACGATTATGATTTCTATGAGAATCATCAGTGGATAACGGAACCCTTACCTCTTGATCTCAAGGAGTCAAGTCCGGTGAAAAGTCTTTAAAAGACGCGCTAGTTGGGAGGGAACCCAACGATATGGTTTGCGTATCATTTCCTTTTTCCATTTGAGTATTGTTTAAGTAGAGGATTAGAAATGCGTAGATAATAATTAATAGGACTTAGCCCTTGCCTTGTCTTGTTTTATGGATGTTCGATTGATTTAGATGAATGATTAAGTTTAAGGTTTGGTGAAATCATGATATTTGTGTTCAGGAAAAATATCGGGGTTGCCACGTCAAAGATGGCGGCCACAATCGCTTGTCTACTGCCCGCTTTCTTGTCCATGCGTATTTAAGGGAGAGCCTCACATTGGAACCATGTGTAGTTTCTCCATCTCATCTGTTAAATTTCAATGCCATGTTTCCCAACCTTACTTAGCTTGTTGAGCTTACTTCCTCTACTTCACTTTCCAACATCTTTTGAGAGGTTTTCTCAATCATTTTTGGACTAGCATCATGTATTCTACCAAGATAAGGATAACTTACAAGAATAAGGGAATGGCGCGTAGAGAGAGTTCTTCTAACATGGAGATTTCTCGGACTTCTAATCCTTGCCACGACCATCGAAAAAAAGTAAATCTAATCCTTGCCACGACCATCGAAAAAAGTAAATCAAATCCGGATCAAAGGAAGTACATGTCCCAACTGGATACTCTTCGCACAGCATGGGATTGAGGATGCACTTCAATCCAAGATTCAGAAGTGTGGCTAAAATTTTTATCCATTCAAGAAAACATTTATCGGGTACTTGTTTTGGAATTCATTAGCACTCTTACCATTCAAGATATGCGAGGTGCCGCAAACCTTCAAGACAACATCCAATTCAAACTAGGAGGAAAGCATCGCCAATAGTCTATCCAAGAATTTATAAGAGCCATGGATATTTACTCGGCGGATTTCATTGACTCACTAGAAGCTTTTGCTACTTTGACAAGGGAATCTGACTTCCCACGTTTCAAGCCTTTCTATGAATCCGAAGTAAAGAATCCCAATAGTCAACCATGGGATGTCAAGCTATCAAAGGCTAGTGACGTGAAACCAGAGTGGCGGTTAATCCACCATGTGATTGTTTGGTCTGTGTGTGTAAAGAACCAAAGCAAAGGCAATTTGACTGGCCGAGACGTCATTTTCTTCCAAATCATGCATCTTCCTCAATATCTTCACCTTGGTTTGGAATTTTTTTCAATCTTCAAGCACTATGAAACGGACCATCGAATCACTACTCTTCATGGAGGAGTTTTTGTAACTCGTCTTGCGAAGTATTTCAGAGTCGACTTCATGGTCGGGAAATTTTGGTTGGATAGTAGGACCACTCCCATATCCTTTAACATTTTGAAATCCATAATTGAAGTGCTACATTTGAATGACGATGGCATTTGGGTAGTACGTGGACTTTCATTTGCAACAACTAACACGTTGGATATGGACGGTACTGTGTTCCGTCTTCCGGAATCTACTACGGTAAGAGGACTAGTCAACGATGAAGAGCAAGTTGAAAGCATGTATGAGGGAGGAGAGGCGCATCCATTCACTTCTCATCCGATTCCCCCACCATTAAATCATGCAAGGGATCTCCGAGTCAAAGCAATGATAGTGACTCCATATCATGGCGTGCATCCATGCTATAATGAAGCAAGTGGATATTTCGATTGAAGATGTATCGCCCCAACAGGAAGATAAAGACAAAGACCTACACTTGTGTACCTTCACCAACCCACAACCCAACCTATGGTAACCTTTATGATCTTCTCTTTTGCATCTCCCACATTCAGGACAATGTGTGCACAAGTATGTGTGTGTGGGGGGGGGGGGGGGGTGTGCGTGAATGCTTTAATGATTATCATGATTGATTGAGCCATGAATCACTAGTATCCTCCCTTAATTATGATTGTAAGAAGTTGATGATTACTTATGGGAGTGTATGCTAGCGATTGTGCGTGTTTGTGGTATTGAATGGCTTATTGATTGTGTTTTGGAACCTAAATACCCACAAATTTTAAAATTTGAGGGTTCAAAAACACCTTGTTTCTTGCAACTTCCTACTCAATATGATTTGAATTTATAGATGATTGATGTATTTTGCTCCCTAGGGAGTAGTTGCATGATTAGAGTACCGGTGTATGAGAGGTTTTGCTCTCTTCTTTCATCTTTGGTAAATTGATAATGTTTGCTATTTTCAGAAAAACATGTGTGCGGGATTCTCCATAATTTTTTAACTCGAAGGAGCTTATCAAATGAGAGGCAACCAAGCATAGTGTTTGAATTAAGCCGTCAAAGGACTTTTCTCTCGGCTCAGAGTGCTCTCAGAGGATGTGTTTGGGGTTCAAATAGCTTTATTGCGTCCCGACCATCTTTCACTACTTACCATTTCCTAATCACCTCTCCTCCTCAGGGAATCATATGACAAGGCATGAAGCACCTTTTAGTGATTCGAGAGACCTTAGATCTTACTTGTGCCCAGTATGTGTGGCAACCCAATGTGGAGTACAGGCTGGGAAGTGGTGCTTGGGAAAAGACGAATCCGCCCATCAACTTCTTCACATGTGACATTGATAGGGAAGACAATGATATATCCGCTCTTGGTCATGAGGGAGAGATGCTTGCTTGCAAAGAGTTTGCAAAAGTTTGTTTCAATGCGCATCAATGTTGAAAAAGGAGACCAATAAAAGACAACTCCTATTTTGGATGAAAGAATAAAAAGCACCACAAGTATAATCATCACCAAGTAGTTTGTGCTTGCACAATAAGATGATACTAGCGTTTACTCGTCTACGTTTACTCTTCTTTATGCAATGAAGAACTAGAGTGCACCCCCCATTGATTTTTCTATCAGGTTGCAATGGTTTGAGTAGATTTACTTGGGGACAAGCAAACGCCTAAGTGAACTAGAGTTTGATAACACCCAAATTGGTGTTATTTACCTATCATATCTAGGTTTGTTTCCTGCTAACTCATTTGCATAATTAGAAGAATATCATCAATTGCATCCCTATTTCGTTTCTATTTGATGTCATGATTTTAGGGTGCTTTAGACAATATATGTGAATTAGGTACGAAAAATGGCACAAGTGTAGCAAAATGGGCATGAAGCTGATTATCATGGCCTAAAGGGATCTCGGCCACGAAAGCAGACTGCTAAACAAAAGTGAAGTTCGTGCCCTGAGAACCTAAGTTTGCGGCCGCGAAAATGATCTTGTACGCAAACTTTGTGAAGAAGCCAACCGAGAGAGGAAAGAAAGTTTCGTCAGTCTAATCACGGTCACCGCCTCTCCTAACCGTGAGGAAGTTCGCGGCCGTGACTCACAGATCATGACCATGAAGTCATCCCGCAAACTCCCTGCAGACGAAGACCAAAATAGCGACGCCTAAAGATCGCGTTATAGAGGACATCTTCCCCATTTTAAGAGAGCTAATTTTGAGAAAG